AAGGGATTCTTCCAGCTTCCACAGGAGCAGTGGCAGTGTCCATATCAGTAGTGTATTCCATATGGCGGAGATTACCTACAGGCACATTGCGCGATTAAATGCGCTAAGGGGGTGGGCTAGGGAATTGAATGAGAGAGAAGCTGGCTAACCTGGTGCCAGGAGTCCCTACGGATTTCCTGGCCATCTGATTTCTTTGGTTGATATCCTTCCTTTTGGGTATGCTGGATGAGAAGGGTCTTTCAAGCTGTTTTTGTCGATCAAGGCTTGGATCGGACACCTCGTTCTTGATGTGGGTGAAATTATTTCGACTTTTCACCTAGTAGCTTCACGTGGCTCGTATGGCGGCCGACGGATGGATAAATAGACTGCGTCTCGCCTCCGCCGGTACGGGGTGGTGGGCTGAGTGTCTTCATGCAAAGATGCAGTATACTGGTGATATCACCGCCCCTGGTGATCTGTTTATCCTTGAACAACCAAGGAGCACCAGTGTCCTGCCGTTATGACTGAGAATCTTGGGATTCCGGATTGTATCTGAATGTTGTCCTGTGCATCTCCATGAGGTGGTTTTCTCCAGACATATAGGATATCAAGCCACACTTTGATACATTGACCTGATCGCCAACAGCCGCGAGGAAACCTGGATGGTGTTGGGATCAGCAATCTGTGAATGGCGTACACAGCGCCGGGAATAAGACATGACGCCAAATCGTAGACACTATCCAGTCTGCCAACTTCCTCACTTTTATCCCAAGCGATATCACCCCAAACAGTCAAAAGACAAGACGAAGAGTCGTCTCAACTCGGTACACTTTTCCTGCCCCGGCCTCCGGTGCCTTCGCTTTTGGTTCCATATAGGGGTACACTCTACACACGCCCAAATACCCTACAAACACGCCCATACAAGTATACACTCTCGAATCACCTAAAATAAAAAGTACTACGTGTCATGGCCCGGCCAGACGGGTCATGCCTTATCGAATAAGCCGCACTGGTACGAAAGATGTAATTGGTAGTAGATTAGATAAGGAAGAGTGAGTCCGTGGCGCGGCTGGCCCTGGGAGCATATCTCCCATCGTCAGCCGCGCGCGCAACTCTTACCTTTTGTTTTATTCTTTAGTTGTAAATTCTATGTTGAACGTCAACATTGCAGCCCTGTCTCGGCCGTTACGTGCCTTTACACTACGCTACTTCAAATATTCATTTTTCTTCCTAGCCCCTAGTTCATAAGGTTTCCAAAAATAACCTAATGGTTTTTAGAGCGGTGGCCTTATACATTTGGAGTGGTAAATATCAATTAGCTAATAGATAGGTACTTCCCTGTTATCTTCTCGATGAAACTGTGAAGGGGAGCGAATTATACCCAATTCTAATGACAAAAACGA